AAGGCGAGTTTTGTTCAACACAGGAATTCTATTGTCCCTGGCTTTAGTTGTCAAGTGCCCGGAGAACCCAGAATTTATGGTAGCTGCACAATGGGCCTTTCAGGGCCCCACGAAAGAGCTGTGAGATCCCGCTCCCCGGCTTTTCAGGGCCTCTAATCTTTTTATCGGGTCCGGACAATGTCGAATTCAGCGGCTGCCTGAGCCTCCTGACTGTCCACTGGCCCTCAGGTATTGTGCAGTAATTACCATGGTGACAATGGACTCTGTCTGCGTCCGTCCATCGACTCTTTGGAAAATGGTGAGGGTTGTCACTTTGTATTAGGCGCCTCTAAAGGCATGGCTTACTTAGAAAAATGACTAAAGAGAAATAAAGATAATTGTGTTAAGAATTTCATTTAAAGGGCCACTGTGTCAAGTCCTTTTGGAGCCCCAGAAACTCGTTACGGATGTGTTCTTGTAATTACAGTCAGACACTGGGCGTCAGCCCTGCACAGGCAGTGAGTGGCTGGCCCTGGAGACTTTGCAAGGAGGTGTGAACTATAGGTAGCTGGCAGCCCTCCACGGCCTAGGGGGAGCAGAGGCCTGAGCCCAGTAAGTGAACTTAGAAGGACTCCTGAACATCTTTGAGTCTTAGGATACACATATGAAAAAGAATGGTGTAGAAAATGCGTATAGATGAATATGAATTGTATGTTCTATGATTGCATATTAACATATGCAAATATATGAATATTAGTTCCATACAAATGGTTATACATCTGCCATAGGGCTTTGTGAATAGCAAATATACAATAAAAGGGAAACTCATTTTTTAAATCATGTACTGTTGAAAAAGCATAATCCATATCTTTTCATAATCACAGCTACTGATTACTGAGTGCCTGCTCGGAGTGAGGTGTTGCATTTATTATCCCCATTTGTCACAATAATGCTACAAAATAGTTGTTATTATCCCCATTTTAGGTTGAGGAACCTGAAGTTCAGAGAGTTCCTGCTTGCCCAAAGTTAAACTAGCTTGGAAAAGGCAAAGCACGGATTTTAAATTCTCATATTCAAGAGCTTACTGCTTCCCCCCATTAAAAAAAAAAATTATCATCTACAGACCTATCTTACAAAGTATGCTTCACCATATGGCTTTAGAACTTGGGCAATAACAGGGAAGAGAAACACCCTGTGAGGATCATTAATTTGGTGTCTTCATCCCACCAACAGCGTTAGGCACGTGGGACACCCACAGAAGGAAGAAGCCCTGTTTGCAAGGTGCCCAGGGTCTCCGCCAGTGCGCTGTCCCTTGACCTGCAAGAAAACCCACAGCAACGTCAGCAAAACAATCTGGGCTTTCTAGACTGAGAGGAAAGCATAGGGCCTTTTTTTGACTGCTTTGCCCAATAAAAGTTTCAAAAACCTATTATTTGACTTGTTTATTTAACAGTAATATAGTTAATTGTAGTTTGTTTGAGTCAACTCTATACCAAAATACCTGAAATTACCCGTTGTGTCACTATAACAAGAAGTAGACATTATTTCTGGTCACGTCCCAAAGGAATAGGCATGATTCACCCCCAAAATGGGTCTCCTTGTGGGTTTCTAAGGCTGGCAGGAAAGTGTCACTTGTAAGTGATCCTGTCCCGCTGTGCTGGTTCTTTGCCCTAAGCATTTGGGCATTTCCCACTTAGCTTCAGTTTCTTCATCTGTAAAATGGAGCTGTCACTGTCTCTTTGGCTACCCTGCTCCTGTCATTGACAGCTCTGTCCCTTTTAACCCATCACCCCTTTGTCATACCTGTTTGAGCATTTAGCAAATAGTAAGTGGCCTGGGGATCCTGAAATATGTGCTGAGTGGGGCCTATTTTAAGTTCATATACTTTCAGCCTGTACCCTCACCACCGTCCCCACTTCCAGCATTACATGTTTTTGTGGTCATTGTGCTTCTGACAGTGATCCTGGCACGTGACTGACCTGGCTGCATCCACATTCTAGAAGAGGACACATACACAGAGCTTGTCCTCTAAGCCAAGACAGTTGATTTGGAGCAGAGATCCTATAAGAGTGGTGGCAGCATGCCCCATGGGTCAAAGGGAAGGACATGGCCTTGCATGTACCAGGCCTTCTGTACAATCAGAGATCAGCAAAAGAAATCGCCACCATCACATGCTTTTCTTCTTGATTCTCATATGTTTGTCAAGTATCTCCTCCATCCCACTTTACACCCTCGGCTTCATGGTGTTCTTTCTCTTGAATTTTCAGTCTCTCTGAAATAATATATGGTATGAGTTTCTGTGCTTTTGAGGCTCTCAGTACTGTGGGTGGCTGAGAACAGCAATGGAAGGGGCTGATGAAAGGCAGTGCCCCTGTTCTTGGAGAAAGCCCGAGATAGCCTGCAGGCCTTGGGAAATAAAGGCGAGATGCCCTGAGAGAGGTAGGAGTAGATGCAGCAATTGTGGGTTGTATTTTCCTGGCTCAGAAGGGGGCACATGATTCCTGGTCTTGTAGTCATGAGACGTGGAGGACAGAAAAGAAGTGAAACTTCCATCCAAGAACACAGATGAAGAACAAGAAGCTGCTCACACCTGACCCTTGAACTCTCTCTCTCTTTTCCCATCAACTCTGCTAAAAACACAAAAGCATCTTAGATTTCTTATGTTCCTTTTTTTCTTTCCTAAAAATAATGGTGTAGTCATATACCAGCATTTTCTACAGAACCCACAGCCCACCCTCCCCAGTGCTCTCAGTGATCAGAATTCATAGACAATTCACACAGCTATTTTTGCTTTCCTATCAACACTTTTAATTGTCCGATCAGGCTTTTACTGAAAGGAGTTTTATAGAGGAGGTATTTTGCAGGGAGGTAAAGAATCAAGGCAAAGAAAGGAGATCGATTAGTTTTATGGATTTGAAAAGTAAAATTTCAAAAACATACTGGCCACAGATACAGCTGGATTATTAACTGACCGGAGACCACAGGACTCAAACAGAAAGGGTGCAAGCTGTGAAGGCAGCACCACAGTATTCTGATTCCCAGCTTGGGTGTTAACTGGCTGCGCACCTTGGCCAAGAATCATGCCCCTTTGAGCGAAGGGGTGAGACACCTAGCTGGGTCATGGTACCCAGGGCAGTTATATGTATTTAAAGAGAAGACACTGGCCTGTGGCAGATATTTGCTCCATCACTGTTTATAGAGTTATAGTTATTCATTGCTGAGTAACATACCACCCCCAAATTTAGTGGCTTATAACAACAATTTATTATTACCTCCTACAGTCAAATTGACTGAACTCACCTGGGTGGTGTTTTCTTGGTATCTCACGCTGTGTAGTCAGATGGCTGAGGTCAAATGAAGGTTTGACTGTGTTGGATGTCCAAGATGGCACCCTCACTCACCATCTGGTGCCTCAGCTTTGATGCCCAGAACAGCTAGTGATGGCTGGGCATCTCTCTGTTTCTGCAGCTTCTCCACACGGCTAGCTGGAGCTTCCCCACAGCATGGAGGTCTAAAGTGTTCCAACTTCTGACATGTCAGCTGACATCTCCCAGTTCAAGCTTTCCAGAAGCACAAGACAGGCTGCAGAGTTTCTTATGACCCAGCTTCTGAAATCATAACACCGCATCCCTTTTGCCATGTTACACTGGTTACCCGGAAACAGCTCAGATGCACATAGAAGGGGATTGCACAGGGGCATGGACGTCTGGGGGTGTGGTTCATTTGAAAAGGGGACAGTTTTGGGCACTCCCTATCATAGACAATGTCGTTACAAAGTAGGGTCTCTCTGATTCAGTTGTGTGTTGTATGAACTGCCCCATGTGGCTTTTTCTCCATGACACCATGTGCATCTGGGCATAATGCCAGTGGTGCTCTGTCCTTGGCATCCTGGGAACAGCACACGACAGGACAGTTTTATTGTTCTTGCTATGGTCATCCAGATCAACCTGCTGTGCTTAGATATGCAATGCACCTGCAGCCCTTCACCAAGACAGGTTTTTGCTTGCCTCCTTCTTCTTGTTTTAGAGAAGGCATGTGTGTGAGGAGCTGTTAGAAAGGACCGAGATGAGGCAAGGAAGAATGGATTTGGGGAAAAAAATGAAGTATGATAAATAACGTCAGAGTAAGCCTCTCATTAAGCCCTCATATAGGCTGAGTTGATCCTAGAAGGTGGAAGCTGTGGAGATGAAGGGCATTCAAGAACTCCTTTATGCTGTTGCATGAGAGAAGCTGTGCCAGCTGCCACCTTCCTTGGTTCAGTGCTGCAGTTTCTAAAGACGACAGCTGTTCAGACACTCCATAGTCTTCTCCTTATTCATTCAACAAATATACATTGAACAGTTGCTCTGGGCTAGGAAATGTGTTAGACACTTCGGGAGATATGAATATGAATCAGACCAGAATCCAGGCGGAACGCAGCCCCCCCACACATTCCAGAGTGCGGTGTAGCGTGGGAGGGGTGTGCAGAGGAACGCGGCCTTGATGAAGAATCGTGGCTCTATTAGCACAACGCTGTGGTCTACTGCTTGGGGGTGACATCTCCCATCACCACCGCCACTGTCACTCTTTGCCCTTGAGACTGTCATTCCATGAGGATCAGGCGGCACAGAGCACTGCTTCTCACTTTAGGAAGAAAGGTACTAACTTTGGACTTAGAGAATGTGGATTCTATCAGAAGCTGGCTCTAAGACTTCCTATCCCCCTACCACTAAAGAAAATGCATGAAAATTTCATAACATGTTATAAGAAGTTGGATTTATTATTACTTTTATTTGTGTTATCAAAGTACCAAATGCACATGTGGTTAATCTCATCATCCTCAGGTACCTATAAATCCATAACAAGCTTTTCTCACTTTGCACATATTTGTGTTGTTTACATCTCTCTCAGTGCACCTGGGTTGTTATCTTCTAAGAGAAAAGTCTGTCTTCTGCCACTGTGTACCCCTAGTGTCTAGTAATGTATCACTTTATTGATTAGTGTCACCTCTAGATTACTAATAATCCTTTCATTTTTTGCAGAAATTACTATATTTTTGGCTCCGTGACCCCGTGATCCTCATTCCTGTTGTCATTTGTTGAGTGACCAATCAGATGGGTGGAGTGTGTTACAGAAATTGGCAGCAAGTATCCAATGGGTGAAGAAGGTAAGATGGACCAACATTACTGAGTGATTCAAATGTTACTATATATGTGAAGATGGAAATGCTGCCTGCCAGGTTCAACCCTCAAACCTGGCTTGGTTTGAACCCTCACCAAATCCTAAGAATAATCTGAGATGGAAGTAGGTCTACTTTCTTGGACTTCGAGGAATTTGGTTATTCACTGTCATTACAGGGTTCTGTTTATTTAACACCTACTATGGGCCAGTACAAGGATGCTACTTTCTATGACAATAGAAGATTTGGAGAAGAAAGAATGAATTAAAAGGGATTATAATTCTTTAGCAAAGACTCAGCTGGACACATTAACTAAGATAATTGCCTTGTTGCTTTATTCCCCTTTTGTTCTTTTGAAAAGAATTCTTTAAATATGAACAAAATGGCTTAAATCCCACCAGGGAAAGTGATTAACAGGAGGCTAAACCTTATAGACCTCAAAAGACAGAGCATTACATCACAAGTCAGCAGGTTGATTTCGCTCCCAGGCCTAGCTCTGCCATTCACAGTCTGTGTGCCCCTTCAGGCGATGGGCTCTTTTCTGGGCCACAGAAGCGGTTAAACTCAGGGTCTATAACAGTTCTGAAGTTTTAGGATTCTGTGAATCCAATTTACCTCTGCCATCTGCTCTGTGGTAATGGAGCTATTTTTATAAGACATCTAAATATCCAGGCAGATATTTAAGAGCTAATTCTAGCAACATGGCTTTCCATACTTTAGGGTTCTAGACATATCTATGCATATATCTGTGGCTCATCTCCTCATGGGTGTCCACTGGGTGCCTTAAATGCAGAAGCCAAATAATACAAAGTCATTATTTTCTCCTCTAAACCTTTGCTTTGTTCTGTGCGCCACATTTCAGTGTAGCATCTAAATTCACCCAGATCAGAAACATGGGAAGGATCCCATGTGCTTTTCAATCCTTTACCTCCAAAAGCAATTAATCGATTCCTATTTATTCCTCTTGATTTTACTCTCTAATTATCTCTGCAATACTTCTATTTCTCTCTATCCCCTCTGCCACCATCCAAATGCAAGCCAAATCCTCTTTCTCCGAGATCACCGCACCTGCCACTCACCAGTTGTTTTTTTCTTCAGGGTTTCTTTTCCTTTGTCAGCTCCAGCATGATCCGTACGTCCTGGGCAATGTCCCTGAGTCCAGAAATTATGTAACTTTCCTGCTTAATCCCTTTCGGTGTTAGAGATCTGAAATCCTTAATAAGCTTAGGACCTTTCACTGATGGACCATTTTTCTGTCCAGACTCATCACAGCCACTGCATCTGCACAACAGCCCTTACTATGCATGTCCACCCTAGGCTCTACCCTAAGGCACAAGCATCATTTTCAGAGCCCCATCAGGAGTTCTTTCTGAACCCCAGAGCTCTGGGTGTCTCCTAGACAACACTTGAGTAATAAGAGATTACACCATTTACTGATTTCCACGTTGGGCTGTAATTGTTCAGTTGTCTGTCTTCCCAGCTAGACCTGGGGGTTCCCCAGGATAGGACTTATTTTGGGACCACCATGCTTCCAGTTGCAAGCACTGTATCTGGCCCAAGGTAGGTTTTCAATAAATATTTATTAAGTGTATGACTAGAGACTTTAAGTATATTTTGAATAGAAGACGAGGCAGGGTGTTAACGTTACCACAGAGAATAAAGCCGTAACCGTGGCAGCCTACAGGCACTGCCTGAGTGCTTACTGTGTGTCAGGCACAAGAGGTATCACCTCCCTCAGTCCTTGCAAAACCTAAGGTGGTCGGTACTATTCATATTTAAGATTTTCCCAATGAGAAAAGTGAGTCTTAGAAAAGATAAGTAACTTACCAATGCCCATATTGACATAATTTTTATCCTCAGAAATTTTTATCCTTGGGAACTCTGACTTTAGCTCAAGCTTATGTCTTTTACCACTCCTCTCTCTTGCTTTCCCCTGAATGAATCTCCTACATTATGAACAAAAAACATTTCCTCCACCTAAGACTGGAGGGTCTGCTTGCAGCCCGCACAGGCTATTATCACAACGGTCGTCCATTGTACCTTGTACATCCTAAATCTCACGTCCATGCATCATTAAGATGGTCATTCTCTGTGGCTGGGACCTGTTAATCTTGGTGGTTTTCTAGATGTTTCACACTCATATTGTATAGTGGATCTGTTTGGGAACAAAATTTCTGTTTGGGGAGCCCTCCCACCCCCAATTCCTTCTCCCCTGCTCTCTTGTCAAAGTTTGTTATGGGAATAAACCAGTGATTGAAAACACTCTTCCTGGCACAGAGCTGCACTCCCTTGCGAATGCACCATTATGTCTTGGAAACTGTGTGGCCAGCTTGCAGCATTAGCATATCTTGTATTCATTTGCTCTGAAGCCTGGCTCAGCAGACGGAACACATCCCTCCTGTGGAAAATGTCTGTGAATGGTGATCATCTCATTTCAGCCAAGCCAAATAGGTCTCTTCATTTCATCAGCCCTGTGAATTCTTCAGGAGGACATGTGACTGACATTTCCTATTTTTCTAGATAATAGGGACAATTAGAATGAGGGATCAATGGAACAGAGTCAGAAGTTAAATAGAAAGTACTTGAATTTAATTTACCTTCTATGAAATCTGCTAGACTGTTTTTTTCCACTAAGAAATTAAGAACAGCCTATATTGAAGAGTTTGGCACATCTTTCATTCCAAGGAGAGCAAGGTAAATTGCCCTAACCCTTGTAGCACCCCTAAAAAAAAATACTTCACAGCATGGTACAGATGGAATGGCCCTTTCATCTTCCAGGATATGATTTTTGTTCTACAGAGAGGGGTTTTTTTTCCTAGAGAGAGGAAAAGACATGTTCATGATTATACTGTAAGGTTTTGGAAAGCAGAACTAACCCAGATTCAGATTCGTGATCCCCAATCAGCATTTTTAGAACAGGTGCCTATGATGAGCCTCCCCTCTCCTTCCAGGAGCTCACAGTCAAGTAGCTCTCAAAATCCAAGTATAAAGTACTCAAAACCTGAGCAGGATGTGAAAAGAGAGAAATATGGGGGTAGAGAGAGTGAGCCAGAACAAGAAAGACTTAATGAATGGTGGTGTGGTGTTCTGGGCTTACGGGGTCAGCTCAGGCTGACTTCTGGGGAAATCCACTTAGCCTCTGTTCCTGGTACACTTTTCTTACTTCTATATCCCCCAGAGCAGGGGAGGAATTACCTGGTTAGTTACAGGATAGGGCTTCTCAGCCCTGCTACCTCGCTGGGCTTTTCATAGGGCACTGAGGTACCAGTTATGAATATCTTGAAGTGGAAAGTATGTGTTCTTATGCTCATGAGAAGCATGCACACACTGAGATCCTCCTGAGTGACAATCGGCAGGGGCTGCTGGTCACAGATTACTCAGTTATCTTTCATTTGCACAAAAATCAATCCCAAGAAGCCCCCTTGTTTGTGTTGTTCGGGTGTGGGGGGGACGGGGAGGATGGCTCACGTGTGCTGGAGTGTCCACCAGGCTCTGCATTGTCCCTGACAGTTTGAAATGCTGGCAGCCTACCTCCTTGCTTGCTGGGTCTGTTTGTGAATGCACATTTCCTATTTCGGGATGTAGGCCACTGTAGAGAAAGAGGCCAAGTATCTGTTTGTAGCTGGTGTTGCTAGAATCATAAACAGACCCTCGGTTCCCTTGCTGACTACTTTGCTGAGATCTTTCATGAGTGTGATGAGACTATCACTCACACAATTAAGAATTACAGGAAACTCTCATGTGCCAGGCAATGTGAATGTCCTACCTTTGCCCAAATCAGTACTGAAGGAAACATGCCAATGAACCTTGTGGTTCTCTGATCTTGCTTTATTTAATGAATGAGGAACCAAATGTAGAGACCGCTTCTGATGATGACAGTGAGAGCTGATATGTAATGAGCGTGCCCGTGTGCAGGCACTGTGCCATGTGTTTTACTTTCATGATCATGTTTGACCTCACCAGAACTTGGCCTGGTCTGTGGGGTCACCAAGATTTTTTTCAAAGGGGTTAATGAACTTGCTGAGGTCCACCTGATTCAGAGTAGCTACAGTCTGAGTCTCTGCTCCTGAGCACTGTCTCTAGTAATTCTTTTGCATATTGTCCTCCAGTCTTAACCAAGTTGGAGGGTAATTACATCACAGTTCATTTGGTATGGCCATACCCTAAATCTCTACTTGGGTTATAAAGGAGACCTAGCAGCTTCTGTCTAATGCAGCAGTACACAGCTGAATGTGTAAACCGAATGGGAGGTAACACGTGGGGAGAGACAAAAAGGGCCCTGATACATTCACTCATCAACTGTCTCTTGAGGACTATTCCTATTTGAGCCCTTGGACTAGGTACTAGAGATCAACAATAAGCCAAATGCACATGCATCTGTGAATATGATGAAGTCACAGTCATGCCATAAAAGATCTCCCCTTCTTGTGACGGAGCTACAGTAGAGTTCCTTCTAGCCAGCTCCAGGGTCCACAGGAGCCAGACGGACTGACTCTGATCAAGGAAATCATGGGACACTTCAGTGAAGAGGTGACCTTTGGGTTTAAACATGAAACACGAGTAGGAATTTAGCAGGAGATCAGGAAGGTGTTTCCAGGCAATGACAGCAGTACTGATGTCCTTGAGCCAATGTTTGTCGTGACCTGGCACTTGGTTTGTTTTCATTTTCATCATCTTTAAATAGGTGAGACAGTTCAACAGATAGAGTTGGTTTGAAATTCAAAAGATGAAAATTCGTCTCTGAAGAATTAAGGGCCCCTCAATCCCTATCATCTAGCCCATGAATTTCCTTCCCTGGAGGCAACTACTATTTCTGGTTTTCTTTGTGACTGTCCAAAGACTTTCTGGAAGTTACAACCACTCACACCTATGCAGTCACTTTGCCCACATTTGTATACGTAGATGGTATTCAATTGTAAACATTATTATGCACACTATTCTACATCTTGATTTTAAAAAGAACACTTTATTTTTCCCCTTTTTTGTTT